TTCGCGGATACGCATAACTGGATTAAACTAATTCAGTGGCTTAAACGTGAGTGTTTTGAACATAAGCTGAAAACGAAATCAGAGTGATCCTGCCAATGACTGTAGTTTCCATCACCTCCCAAAAGACGACGAATCTTCCTGTGTACATTTGTTTAAATTCTTAATATTCTATAAACTCTCTCAGCATGTGATTGGCTGTTCGCTACTGATGTTACACCTAAACTCAGATTGAATACCAAATGTGCCAGTTAATGTATTCAAGTAGCACATTCATTTATAATTTTGAATTAACTCCAAACCACAATGACTAAGTGTGTATTTTTTTATTTTAATTGTTTGTCAGCTCACACAACTGTCTGTCACCATGCCTTGGCATTTACTTTCTTTGTGGTCATGATTAGTCCGTCATGTTATTCTGAGGAAAAAAATATTGATCTTGATAATTTTAATCAAAATCTACTCTGTTTCGGGCCTCGGCTAACCAGTCCCTCTTAGTTTTCAACCCCTCACCTCTAACTTCTTTTCACAAGTTTAAAGTGTCTGTGAAGTTCCTGTCATATTTTCTTGGTGTTTTTCAAGGATGGATCGCTGTGAAGTGATGCCACTCACACTTAGCATATCAGCGGTGGATTTGAGCTCTGTTTCAGTCTGAGACGCACACGCTAGCCTGCTCCACTCTCACTCTACAGGAGACTAATTCATTTAGTTCTGCAGTTAGAGAAAGAAATAAAAAAGTTGAAAGAACAAAAAGATGGGAAAGGAGAGGCCTCACACGGATGTGGATGGAGGACAAGACGTGCTTGAGCGATAGTGACAGGATGAACTGCGGCACAGCGTCTCGCTAGGGCCTCATCCTGTCGCAGTAATTACCGTCTCTACAGGTCGCCAAACACACACACATACAGTACACACACATTATTCACCAAACAAAACAAGAAGACGCTAACACACACACGCATGTAGTCATGCTCAGCTATGCAATGCCACTGTTTCAGACTGTTTCGAGGCTGCAGGTGAGAAAGGTGTGTGTGTGTTTTGCAGTCTCTTGCTGCTTTTAGCTGTTTAGTTCAGACACACACACGCATACAATCGAACACCTAAATGCATCACATGCACACATTCATTCACACACTTGCTGGCTGTGTCTCCATATAATGAGATTAAGTTGGAGATCGTGTACACTGAATACTGTGATTACGTTAATGTGATTAGGCTCATAATTACAGTAACCATAATCACAGTCGAATATTTGGAGTTTAATCGCATGTATACGGTTTAATCGTATTTTTTCCACTCTGACACAGGTGTGTATGTGCTGCATATGGAGGTTTAGCGCTCATGATCGGTTTTGAAAGCATGGCGGAACAGAAGTCCAATAAAACGCATTATGTCTATGCCGTGTAAAGCTATAAGCATAAACTTTGTTTCCTGAGCTCTCCAGAAGGGTTGCTTCTGTAAAATGAGGGAGACCAACAAACTGGTCTGTATATGAACTGGAAGGCTTCCAATTTTAAAGCATAACCCCCCCCCCAAAAAAAACTAGTAGATAATACAATTTATGCATGTCATATAAATTCCTTATTCTGATTATTGACTGTAAATGGTAAATTTCAATATTTCGAATTATTCGCTACACTTTAAAAAAATATTTTCAAGATTTGTTATCACAACATATTTTCTTTTGTCAAATCAACTTTATAATAATTTATTTAGTTGAGATAACTTATTATTTTGAGTTTCTGATGGTTAAATTAATCTACTTCATTGTATTAACTCACTTTTTCCAGTTCAATCAACTTAAAATTTTAAGGCAACCCAGGTTACTTACTTTTTTTAAGTTAAATTATCAATATTTTTTTACAGTGTAAGAAATGTGCTTGTACCATAACACCAGTGTTGGGTGTAACTAATTACTAAGTATATTAGTTACTGTAATTAAATTACTTTTCCATTGAAAATGTAAAGTAAGGGATTACTCTTCATACAGTTACTTCTGATGGAATTGAGGTAAATACTGTGTATGGATCAATCCGATCTCACAGCGATTCGTACGCATTCTATGAGGTGTCTAAATATCACGACCGCACTCGTACAAATTCAAATGAATAATTATAAAATATGTATGAAAAAGTGTGAAATGTCATGAGATCAGACATAAAACAATAGTGGGTTTAACATCAAAATGTATTGTCTGATGTTAAAAAGTATGTTTTGTATAATGTAATCTTCTCCACCTTGGTCAGTTTAAGGATAATTCATGCAATGTTATAGTGTTTATTTGAAAGAATTAAAACAGATTCATGTCTATCCTTGTATTATTCAGCTGGTTGAGATTGATATGGGATTTTGAAAGTAATTAAAAGTAATTAAATACTTTTTAAAGAGAGTAATTAGTACAGTAATCTAATTACGCTATTGTAATTAATTACTTTTTTAGAGTAACTTACCCAACTCTGCATAACACAAAACGTTCAGTTGCAAATGTAACAGATCTCTTTGTTGTTGTAGTTTTTATTTGCCTGTTTAAAATGTTTACCAAATGGCCGTTCCTCAAAATAGTGTCCCATTTAAGAGTTTAGGGGGCGATTTCGGACACAGCCGTGGTATTTTCACAATCAGATAGCTATCCAATCAATGAAAACGCATGAAGTGTAAACAGATCCTTTAATGAATAGATAGTGAAAAAAAATACAGTGTAAAACGCACAATGTCTGTCACATCAAGCTTAAAGGGATACTCCACTTTTTTTGAAAATAGGCTCATTTTACAACTCTCCCAGGGTTAAACAGTTGGGTTTTACCGTTTTCGAATCCATTCAGTCGATTTTCTGATATTTAGAAGAACATCAGTAACCAGACAGTTTCTGGTCTCATTGACTCCCATAGTATATTTTTTTTCCTATGGAAGTCAATGAGACCAGAAACTGACCTCAGAAACTATCATCTGGTCACTGACATTCTTTTAAATATCAGAAAATCGGCTGAATGGATTCGAAAACGGTAAAACTCGACTGTTTAACTCTGGGGGAGTGGTAAAATGAGCCTATTTCCCAAAAAAAGTGGAGTATCCCTTTAAGCATGAGTACGAGTTTTCTATTCCACCATATTTACACATGAGCATCACACATCATTGATCTGCCGTGATGCGAACAGAAAGAAGTGTGAATGTATACAAGACCATACAGTACAGTTAACTCCACATAATTTACTGCGATTGTTAATTGAGCACATTAACATAATCACAGTATTTCGCCTGACCTCCAATATAATCACTGATCTGGCTTAAAGGCATTACAAAAGTGCATGTTAGCATGACCAATATTTTTAGAGACGTTTCTAAGCAAGCATACGGATGCCGTATTGTCTATAAAACAGGTTAGTCAATATTGACTTCTTGTTTATAGAACTATTGTATAAAAGCAATATTTCAATTGCAGTGCTGTGAGCGCTTAATTCAACCCTCTGATACTGATCATTAGAAGTGAATGAGAAGAAATATCCCATTATACAGTGGAAAAAGGACACACAAAATAATTAGCCTGTGCAGACAGCAGGATAATAAGATCATGAGAGGTTGGTCACTTATGTGGAACCAGCGACTCAGTGATGACTCAAGCTTTCAATGATCTTAGCGATGGGGCAGAGGAGAACAAAGTGAAGTGTTGTACTCTCTGAGGTTAAGTCCTGTCACTCATAATCTCGCTGAAATCCATTGTGAGGAAAGGATACGGTGGATGCATTGTAGCTCACCTACTCTACTGGCTTTGAGAGAACTCATCATAATTTCCCATACATTTACCGCAAACAACCGTCAACCGGTATCATCAAGAATTATAACCCATTGTACTTTGATAGTGTTGTTTACTCGGGTAATTGATTTAGTAGTCGTATTACAGTCAGCAGATGGCTTTGTTGGGTTATCAAGGTTTTTATTGTACCTTTTAATTGTGAATAATGACTGATTAAACTCATATGATGTGCCAATAATCCAAATGGTGCTGTGGAAAGTCAAATATCCTGCAAAGATATTGATCATAATAGTTTATGCAGTCACTTTTTGATTGTTATGGTGTTGCGCGACACGTCAGGAATGTCAAATGAATGTCACTCGTCTCAAGTCAACATACTTTGTGTTTAGAAAAATGCTAAACAAACGTAGCCCTCAAACCGTAAAGCCCTTAATCCTGTAATTGTGGACAAATGTGGGCACAGGACTCAGATGTTATATCACTGTCTTTGATAAAGTTTGGTCTATCCATTTATGGTGTTTTTCTTTATTTTGGGGGGTATTTTTGAATTTATTTACTTCAAAAAGTACCATATTTTCTATGTAAATTATGCTTATTTTTATGTTTAATTTTTTAACTACATTAAAATATCATTCCAATAAGTTCTTAGAGCTAAAACCTAAAGATGAAGTGACTTTGCTGTCACCTGGTGTCTTATTTTGGCTTATTTTAGGATGCTCTAAATTACAGTTTTTCCCAATCATTTCTATGGGTGCCCATTTTTGACCCAAATACAAGATTAAGGAGTTTTTTTTTTTTTTAACCCACTTAACATTCTGTTCAGGAAGCAAACTTAGGAAAAGTAGCCAAGTCTTGTACCACTCAGATCAAGGGAAGTATTTTTTTTAAATAAATCAAAACTATTTTGCCTACATTTGTCCAGAATATGGTTTTAGGGTTAAGATGTTTGTCACATTCATCTTTAGTTTCAATTTCATGGACTTTCAGTTTGTTTTCATTCATAACATGTGTTCCCTTGTTTGATTTTCCCGCCACTCATTGTCATCATGGACACTCGTCAGATCATCACACCTGTTCGTCATCTCCTCATTATCACTGTGTATTTCAGTTCCTCACCTTCACTGTGTTTGTTGGTGGTTGTTTATGTGTGCATGTTAGACACACTGTTACTTTCTCTTTGTTGTGGATTACCTGAGTTTGTCATTTTGTTTATAGAAACCTTTTTGAACTCTCCTTCCTCTTCATCTTCGTCCTTGTGACAACGTCCTTCTGTTGCTTTGGAAATCTGGCATTTTATAATGTGAGTTGTTTTTTTTTAAAGCATTTGCATGAATATTTCAGTAAAATCCTGTTTATTATTCAAGCTAAAACATCTTTTTTGAGGCTATTTGTGGCATAAAAAACACCGGAAATGACAGGAATAAATTGCATTTTAAAATTTATTAAAATAGAAAATGCTTTATTAAATAGAAAATAATTTATTAAAATAGAAGTTTTAAATTGCAATATTTGTTTTCCACACTAATAATGTTTTTTTGATCAAATAAATGCAGCCTTGCTGAGCAAAAGGAGTCTTTCTAAAACATAAACATTTTTTACCGACCCCAAACTTTTGAATAGTAGTGTATATTATGTTGAAGTCTTTTAAAGCCTTGTAAAATATCAAGATTTCCATTGTAAATAATGTCACAATTCTGAGATACATTGGCTAATTTACTTAACAGTTGCACTATACTTCAATGCAAAAAAACCTGCATCTTTTAATCATAAACGCTTTCTATCTTAATGATACTTATTGTAGAATGTGCTTGGTTCCTAAACATAAGGACCCCTTACTTGGTTCTATTAACACCCATGAAAAGTACATGGTAAAAAAAAAGAATGAGTGCATTTTGTAGTTATCATGGGCATGGCAGCAGTAATTATAGCCAGATCGATTGTGTGTGTGTGTGTGGTCGGTGTGAGACAGGTAACAACAAAGTACTGACATTGAGGAAAAAAAGTAAATTGACCAGTGCAAATTATGATCAGATTGCACAAACAGCCCCAATGCTGGGCCCATGTTTGCCCCATTATCTGATTTGCATAATTCATTTTGAATTGGGCGCTAAAACGGCTCAAAGCACATGCAAATAAACGACACTATCAGCGGGGACAATTACTGTAATTCTGAGTGGACGTCCCCTTCAGTCTAAGTCAAGTGGCACGTAGTGCAACCCATTTTGAGTTCATTGAGATCAGTGTCAAACGGATGACACTCATGGCATTACTGGGCTGATGCGGCAAACTCCCATAATTCCATCAGCACATTTGGGTTCATTTGCTCGGTTTATTTACTGAAGTGTAAGTTGCGTTTCATGTCACAGTACCTGCATTAAGATGTGCACAGCATCACAACTAGTTGGCAGCATGACAAATAGATTGTCAAGTCTTATAGTTATCTTTGCATATTAAGCTGAGCCTGAGATAGAAGAAAGCGTTTTATCATTAAAGAAATTAAGCTGTGTTTCTTTAGTCCTTGTAAGGGTGTGTGGCGAGTTAAGAAAGACGGTGGGTGTTGTGTGTATGTAATATATTGTTACAAACACGCTACTTTTCAGGAAATGAAAAAACCCACAGCATTTTCTAAATAATTAAACACTGTGTTGTAAAAGTAGTGTTTGACATTTTAACAAAATCAAGCTCAACTGGAGTTTCTGTGAATTTTAGACGTGTGTTTTGTCTGTCATTAGAACTTCCGCATCGTATTTTCATCAACTTACAAGGTTTCAAAGACAAGACTTAAGCCTTGAAGACTAAAGACAAGACTAAAATGCATGTTTGAGCTGTTTTAACTGAAAGCAACTTGCACTGACATCTTAAAATATATCTGTGCCGTTGTTTTGTCTCAAGATGCATTGAGCATTTTTTTTCTTAGTCACATTTATAAAAGTGACTCAAGTGTCCTAATTGAACTAAGGCCCGTTCCTGGCTTCTGTGAAACCTGACCATAAAGTTTTCTGTAGCTATGTCGGCGCTTAGTTTTTTTGTCTGTCATTTGTCCAATATCTCATGTTATTGAAGACGAAGTGCTTCATACAGGCTATTTAAGACAGTACTGGCTGTGACTTGACAACAAATGTTAGACTAGACACTCTTCTCCGCTCCTTAAATAAATAAAATATATTAGCGTTTATATGAGCCAATTCTCATCCCAACTATACGTCAACATCCAACGTTTTAGGGTACCCTTTAACGTCCGTTAGATGACACTATCTAATCTCAACCCTACCCCAGACCTAAACCTACCCCCGTAATCTTACTGACGCTAAAGGTAAAGCGTCAGTTAGATGACACCCAAGGATAGTGTCGTTAAAGACGTTAAAGGGTACCCTAAAACATAGGATGTTGATGTATGGTCAAAAGCGTCAGTTAGATGTCGTCTTAGGATGAGAACGTGTTGTTTATATAGTGTTTCTTGAGCAAATACAACGCTGTACCAGTTCTTTATAACCCTTGCATTGCAAACAAGCAGAGACGGTCCAAACCGCATGCGGCACTTCATTCACGGTAAAGATGACAGTTTTAGGATCCAATGGTGATCTAAGGTTTAGTCGCATGGTCTTTTTAATACTTTTCATTGGTTACATTTTGCAAAACCCACAGAGAGATGTAAAGGTTGACCAAAAGTTATGATTTATGAAAACAATTAGATACAAAGGACACCAGTGGCAATATCAAATAAGAATCAAAATGGGAATCTAGTGTGTCTCTGGGCTGGAGCAGTTTAGTTTAGGATGGATGATGGGCGTTCATTCGCTCCATCAAGAGTGCGAGAGTCTGTCAACAGGGGCCAGTAGGTTTATCATTAGTAAAATTATAGGAATTTTGAATAATATTGCAAACATTTTTTGCTGAGTTGGATTATACAAGCCACCCCTGTGGGCAAGTAACCTTTTTATTGATTGGTGGTTTCAAGTTTCCCTTGATACTTTAAAACAAGGCTCTCAAACTATAATCAACCAATTTACTGCTTGAAAGCATCTTGAAAATGAATTACATTTCCTTTTTTTCAATTTCCTTTGCCAGACATGAGTGGTTTTCAACAAAAAAGTAGGAAACTATTTTTGGCCTAGAGGTTGTTGCTTTTACTAAATATCTTTAATATTTTTGTCTCATATTAGAACAGATTGCTGTCGTGTTTTTATTAGTGTCTACATCAATTTTTTTTTGTTTTGAGGGATTGAAGATTTGAATGTAAGAGGTCAGAACAAGTTCTATTTTTAAGTGTCCAATAGGCGACACACTGTGATGATGTAACTAACAAACACATTCATATATTTGTTATTAAAGAGTGAAGGTCCCTCTCAGATTTAGCTTTAGGTCAATATAACCGTTTTATTTCGGCTATATGTTTGAATACTAGCAAACTAACATACTACTCTTCCTATTTCTGCACTGTATGAGCTAAAAAACAATGTAGCTCTGAATCTTTTCTGTTGTTTTACATGCATGTACACATTTAAATATATTGACTTTTACTTTATTTTTTATGGGTCATAGGCAGGCTACAATGCAAAATTAAAGAATAGTTACCCTAAACAATAATACTGCTCAATATACATTTCATAACAATCACTAAGTCAGAAATAGCTGCTTTCTTGTAAACTCACATTTATCATCCCATATTAAAAAAAGCCCCAGTTGTAATATAAAAGGTCTTTTTTATTTAATGTTGTTGTTTCTCTTTAGTTGAAATGATTGTAATTATCGACTCTTGTAGTCTGTTAATTTACTTCCCTTTTTAGTGTGAATACTCTGGAATTAATTTTGTTTAATATAAATTCTAGCGCATTATTTGATTTAACTACTATACCAATAGTCAACAAAATGTAATCAAAATGCAAAATATTTACAAGATGCTAAAAACTAGCCTGGGAAAACCCAGACAACTTCCGGCAAATTTAGATTTGCTCTTAAAGATAGTCTTGCAAAGAGCTCATTCAAGCCCATTCCCAATCCGTTGAAATTGCGGCACCAATCAGAAACGTTGGGGCGGGCTTTACACGATGACGACAGCGCTGGGATTTTGAAGCAGATTTTGTAGCCTACATTACAAAGATGGATCGTGTCTGTTTTAAGCGTTTTGAGCGTTTCCTTTTTGTTAAAAACCGAGCAAAGAACAACACTCTGAGATATTTCTCCGCCGGCCGCCGTTCTGCATCTGTCATCTCCTTCATCGCTCTGAGTGGTTTCACTGTAAAAAATATTTTCAAGATTTGTTATCACAACATATTTTCTTTTGTCAAATCAACTTTATAATAATTTATTTAGTTCAGATAACTTATTATTTTGAGTTTCTGATGATTAAATGAATCTCCTTCATCATTGTATTAACTCACTTTTTCCAGTTCAATCAACTTAAAATTTTAAGGCAACCCAGGTTACTTACTTTTTTAAGTTAAACCAACAATATTTTTTTACAGTGTAGTAATCATCATTTTTTTCTTTTGTCAAATCAACTTAAATAATTTGTTTAGTTCAGATAACATATAATTTTGAGATTAAATCATTCTCCTTCATTGTATTAACTCACGTTTTCCAGTTCAATGAACTTAAAATTTTAAGGCAACCAGGTTACTTACTTTTTTTAATTAAACCATCAATATTTTTTTTACAGCGTATCCGCGACATTCGTTGGTGACGCCCCGGAAATGATTCGTCTATGACGCTTTGCCAGACCTTAGAATGATCTAGTTTTAACCAGGCTAGCTAAAAACAGCATTATGTTAAAAAATCATTGGAAAAAAATAGTAGTTTAGTTTATTTAATAGTTAAATACATTTAAAATGTTTGGAAGTATTCAGATCAGCTAGAATTTCATTACAAACACATTTTTTTATTTTTTATTTTTTGCTGTGCACCCACATCCGTTAAACATGACTTACTTAACAGTATTGTGAACCCATATGCCTATTCAGAAAAAGCATAAGCATCATATATTGTGTGGATTTCCCTGCAGCAGAAGCAGTTGTATTGGGCCCATGTGACAGCACTTTTCCAGTGGCAGAATGCTCTGCTACACAGTGGACAGAGAAGGTTTGTGCTGCTATATGACGCCAGGGAACTCTTTTATTATATCACCCAGGAAACTGCAAGATGCCAAATGAAAACAAATGCGTCTATTTCGCCTTTCCTCGCTCTCTCTTTCTCTTCCTCCTTCTCTTTTTCATGTCTCTTCTGTTTCTCTCGAAATGCAATTCACTGCCAAGGTTGTTGCTTAAATTCCACACCAGGGATTGCCATGCTAACCAAAACATTATAATATGCAACTTGCTCATTTCATTTTGTTGCAATGTTCATGTATTTTTTGTTGACAATGTGCCCTGCTACTGAGTCTACTGGGACAACCAGAAGACGTGTGCTTTTCCAGTTTGACTGTAATGTACTTAGCTGAGAACAAACACTTTTTTTTTTTATTTTATTTTAGACTCAAACTGTGAGGATGTGAGGTTTTACAAACACTTCTTTGGAAGATATATGGATGGATAGATAGATAGACATACCATGGGTGAGGTAGATCCTCTGAATAATGAATCCATCATGGACACTGAGAAGGTAGATCAAGTTCTTCCAACACACACATGACCAAATACCTTCTGACTTAAGCATTTATTATGCAACCGTTGTGAACACAATGCGTAAGGGTGTTTTTGACTCTACATTTTTTTTCTTGACACAAAATCTTAAAAATATGACGCTCATCTGGTGAGAATAATGATTTACTTGTCGAATACAACACTGTAATGTCTTTGAATTATCTTTGATTGGATGTTTTTCTCACAAATATTGATGTGTGTCATTAATATTGACACCAGTTGGTGATTTAATAGTGATTATAACTATTATAACCAAAAATGTGCAAATCACTCCAGCAGGAGATCCAGTGCTACATGGGATTCTTGTTTGAGCCTTTTCTCATTTTGGAATTAAATCCTAAGACTTTCATTTGATTGGTTTCCTAGAATGTTGAGAGAATGAGATCGTATCTTTTCTCCATCCCTGCGGACACCTTTGACGCTGCAGCATTAACGGTAAATACCAGCAAAACAAACAAGCTCAGCCAATCCCAGCACTGTAATTAGCCTAATTAAACTGCAGGTTGAACGCGACGTGATTATACATCATTAATTTCGACCTTACAGTTGCTGTAATTAAGTCGCTCATCACATAAGCTCCCTTGTAAATATCATTTTCACTCCTCTCACTCAGACACTTATTTATTTCATTTATTTATTTTCGAGCGAGAGAGAGAGAGAAAGATGCTGAAGAGATGATTTGCAGCACACGATTAGCTCAAGTGTGTGTGAGTACTTTACTCTGTGGGAATTCCTTGTTGAGTGAACCCTCCTCCTCACTTGAACAAGTGTAAAACTATTCTTCATTTTAATGCATAAATTATATGCCTATTAATCATTAATACTGTCAATATAACACCTCTCTCCTCAAGCAGTATTGTCTATTCAGTGACTTCACGTACATCTGAAAGTGCTTTTAGCTTGCAAAATATTTGTTAGAAAGTCTTCTAAGAGGAAGACTGCATATAATGTTTGATATTTTTAAATATAGGTCTGCACAGTTTTGTTATATATATATATATATATATATATATATTAATTGAGAGATTTTGTATGCAGTAAAAATACTTAAACATCACATACTGTTATACTGCTTGTATATCAATGCTAAAAGGATCAAAAGCATAAAATCATTTTGAAACAGCAGCTTTCATGTTCAACAAGGTGTGAAACACTATACGAGCTAGCAAATGATGCCCTTTGTCTTCAAATTAAGTTATTTAGCTCATGCTCTGCTGCCAGCAAAAGAGTTACTCTTAAGGCTGTTCACCTGGGTACGAAATGAACTTGTTGCCCTCCAGCTATAGTGAGGATTTATATACTTAATTCTAACTGCCTTAATTTTAACTGCCTTAATTCTACGTGGCATTGATTCAGCAAGGTGCTGAAAGCATTCTTTAGAAATGTTGGGCCATATTGATAGGACAGTTGATGGAGATTTGTGGGATGCACATCTAGGGCACGAAGCTCCCGTTCCACCACATCCCAAAGATGCTCTATTGGGTTGAGATCTGGTGACTGTGGGGGCCATTTTAGTACAGTGAACTCATTGTCAGGTTCAAGAAACCAATTTGAAATGATTCGAGCTTTGTGACATGGTGCATTATCCTGCTGGAAGTAGCCATCAGAGGATGGGTACATGGTGGCCATAAAGGGATGGACATGGTCAGAAACAATGTTCAGGTAGGTCGTGGCATTTAAAAAATGCCCAATTGCCACTAAGGGGCCTAAAGTGTGCCAAGAAAACATCCCCCACACCATTACACCACCACCACCAGCCTGCACAGTGGTAACAAGGCATGATGGATCCATGTTCTCATTCTGTTTCCAGTCTTCAACTGTCCAATTTTGGTGAGGTCTTGCAAATTGTAGCCTCTTTTTCCAATTTGTAGTGGAGATGAGTGGCACCCGGTGGGGTCTTCTGCTGTTGTAGCCCATCCGCCTCAAGGTTGTGCGTGTTGTGGCTTCACAAATGCTTTGCTGAATACCTCGGTTGTAACGAGAGGTTATTTCAGTCAAAGTTGCTCTTCTATCAGCTTGAATCAGTCGGCCCATTCTCCTCTGACCTCTAGCATCAACAAGGCGTTTTCGCCCACAGGACTGCCGCATACTGGATGTTTACCCCTTTTCACACCATTCTTTGTAAACCCTAGAAATGGTTGTGCGTGAAAATCCCAGTAACTGAGCAGATTGAGAAATACTCAGACCAGCACCAACAACCATGCCAAGCTCAAAATGGCTTAAATCACCTTTCTTTCCCATTCTGACATTCAGTTGTAAGTTACTGGTAAGAGAGTGAGGACTTGACTCCAGTTGCACGTTCATACAGATAATATCCAAGGCACTAATGTAAGATGCTTTTTGAACCGGAGATTTCGAGACTCATATCTGTATATATGATAAATGCGGTTGTCAGTCCCCAAAACTGACAGTGTCAAAGAAAAGAAAACTCTTCTTAGGATACAGAATGGAGCTGCATGAATAAGATTTAGTACTTCATATTCACATAATGAGATGTTATACTGACCTAAAATGAAATGTCTAACCCCTGAAGACTGATGCAAATTTTCAGAAAGCATTTGGATTTTTATTTGGACACCTTAAAGCAGCCATCAATGTGCAAACTGTGAGATTTTTTTCTTCACTGAGATACATGCAGCTTGTTACAGTTTATCAGGAACCAGACAATGATGGTATTTGCATATCACATGTTTACATCAGGTGCAATGAACTTGTAATGAGGTTCACCTGGAGACATTGCAACTCTCAACATGAACATTATTTATTTAGAGAGTTAGATTTCACCTCACAGATGTCGATTACCAGCTGTGCTTTGTTTCTACCAATGTCATAGAATTTTAAATTTGTTTTAATCATGAAGGCTTTAATGTGCACTACCAGTACAGAAAAGTGCAGTGTGTTATTTCTGAAACACTAGTAGCACCAAACACTAGTGATTGTTTTTCGTGATGCCAATATGGTGATTGTGCTCTTACTGTGTGTTTGTGTGTTTCAGGTTGGAGATGTCGTGGTGTGAAGGTTTGGGAGGCAAGATGACTTTGGTTAAATTGCTCCTGTCCTTATTGCTGCTACAAACGTTTTCTGAAGGTAAGGATGACACTCACACACACAAATTGTTTTTATATCTTTACATAGATTTTTCATTGGCGTATAATGGTTTTTATACTGGACAAAAACTGTATGTTATATCCTCCTAAACCATCACAGAAAAGTTTATGCATTGTAAGATTTTCATAAAAACATAGCTTGGGATGATTTATAAGCTGTTTTACTTGTGTGGGGTCTGGCCAAATAACCCCACAATGTTAACATTTTCACATTTTACTATCTTTGTTGGGACATTTGATCCTTCAAAGTAAGTAAAACATGAGTTTAAGTGTCAGATCATCGGAGTGAGGACAAATAGATTAAAATGTTTTAGCCACTTCTCTTTCTGATACCCTGTTTAAAGGCCTGTTTGAGGAATAGAGATGCATTACATCAAAAATGTTTTTATTATTATGAAGAAAACAGTTTATAAATCACACACACACACATGTTTTAATGTTTTATGGGCATTCCATAGACAAAATTATTTTCTAACTGTATCCTATCCCCTTTCACTAACCCAGCCCCTAAACCATCACAGAAACGTTTTCAAAAAGCAAAGCATCACTTAGTGTGATTAATAAACTGTTTTCCTCATAATAATAAAAAAGTTTCCTCAAGGATTTCAGAAATGGCCATCTTTGTGTGAACATTTTTTGATATAATGCATCTCTATTCCTCAAACAGGCCTTTAAAGGGGTATCAGAAAGAGAAGTGGCTAAAACATTTTACTCTATTTGTCCTCACTCTAATGATCTGACACTTAAACTGGTCCTCACCAATCCTATTATGGTTTTTACTTATCAGATTGCTGTTTTAGCATTTTGCCTGCACAGTTTTTGTCTTAGAACATAATCATTGCATTTAAGACACTGTGTAAAAAAACCTGGACCTTGGGATTGTTGCGTTCATTCTGTTTTATACCGTTGTACTCCATCTTGCAGTCTTTGAACTCGGGAACACATCCATGCCCTGCTAAATTGTTAATTTAGCATTGATGCGTTCATTTTTAATCACTTTTTTCATCAGTAATATACCGAATGAATGTGTTAAATTGACATTCCGTATTAAAACTGAATGTAAAAATATCAGAGGAAGCATTAAATCAGTGTGAGACGATGAATAGGACCCGTCTATATAAACCTGAGGTGATGAATATTAATGAGGTTACAACATCAGCAGTGGCTAATTAATATTCATGAGCCCAGTGGCATCACACCCCGCCCATCTTCAGTCCCCCACTAACTTGTTGCTCACGGGTCAAATGTGTTTCCCAGACTTTCAGATTAAAACTCCCTCTTCTGTTTCTCTCGTTTTTCAGCCCGCACTCATTACCTTCCTGTTGTCCTTCTATCAGCCCACATGTCCTGTCTTTTCTCAGACATCTCACTCCATCACTGTTCTCTCACAGCCGTCTATCATTCCTCATTGTTTGTGTGTGTGTGTGTGCTGGACACCTGCGCTCTGCAGCGGCCCGTTTAACAAGACCGTGTCTCTGCCACTTAACATCAGTCCAGAGGAGTTTATAATTCACCTCTTCCTGTCGGTGTCCTTTCCTACTGCCGAACCTCTCTCAATCATTTACACACTCCATCTTTCTTCATTAATCTGCCTCACTCCTCTCGGTCTCCATAGGTCCTGTGGGATCTGTTCTCTCATGGTTATTAGCCGTCTGTGATTGGTTCAGGGTTTTGAGGGTTAAATGAAATGGAGGTAAATTAGGGAGGGAGTTTGAGCCATGAACCCCAGAACAACCCAAGACTGAATGTTAAACACTCCTCGACCAAAAGAGAGAGCGTTAGCGAATAGATCACAAATGAAAATTCTGTCATTTATCCAAAGTTTTTCACAGTGACCGACCGTGACTGTCAAGCTTCCACAAGGACAAAACGCATAAAAAGAAATTCATACTTGTGCGCTATATTCCACGTTTTCTGAAGGCATATGAGAGCTGAAATTTGTCATCATTTGCTTTATTCGCCTTTTCCTACAGACTCTTATGGCACTTTATAATTATTTTACGTTTTGTTAATGCATGATTTCCAGCAAATAACAACCTACATTTTAAATACTGTATGGCTTCAGAATAGTTTTGCTACTGCTACTGATGTCTCTGGGGATGAAATTAGTCAATATAGCCATTTCACATCACAGTATAATTGAAAGTCATCATTTTTAACATTTAATAGGCTTTAAAAATTAACTATTTTAATTGAAGTGAACTTAAAAAATCTTCACATATTAAATGTCATTATTATAAAGTGTATTCAGTGTAGAAATATATAGATTTTTCTGTCTCTGTCCACTCTCTTTTTGAATGAGAGCTGTCAGTTCATTCTTTCTCCCACTAAGTTTGTTTTGTACATAAAAAAGACTCATATAGACTCATATAAAGTACTTTTTCTGTCCTTTTGCACTGCGAACAGCCTTTATGTTCTCATTTTGTGTTCCTCTGGAAAAGAAGGGTAAAGTTAAGAGGAGTAAAGGATTTTATTTACTTTTTTGGTGAACTCTCACTTAAAGGTAAAGTGGAAGAGGTGGAAGAGAGGTGAGCTGTCTTTATAAAAAATGATGATGTCTGTGAAGAGATCCGATATGACGTGAGTTTCTGTCCGACCTGGTCACTCAAAAGACTCTCAATCAATGTCACAATGGTAAAACATCAGCTACAAAGCTTGTTTCACACATCCTGTGTGTGCAGCAGTGTTAGCAGTATAACTACAGCCGGAGGTATTTGTAGAGGGCTTATAGTTTTTCCTTGTAATGAACGTAATTATAATTATAAAATTGTCCACAGGAGGCCATTGTGAACTATTACAAAATCCCAAAGTAAAGTTAAACTGCTTCATTAAAGCCTGTAATTTAAAGAATGTGTTGATAAATTGGTTTTAAGGCGTACTATGTAAGATTTTTAAAAATACATTCTGTTCATTGACTTCTATTAAGGCGGGCATACACTGTGCGATGTCTGTGCGATTTCAGCAAGGTACCTACTCACACTGAACGAGTAAATCGCATGCGATGCAAAGCCAAAGTTCAGGATTTATGTGCTCACACTGTACGGTCCGATCGTCGAGCTGCGACTTCACTGCTCACACTATACGTGTAATATCTGCGATAACCCCCTGGATTGCGCCTATTTACGTGTATGTATCCAGAGATATTGTCAAAACAAGCATCTGCTATCAGTATCAAGATGATTTAGTATTTTCAATTTATGCATTTAATTATTATTATTATTATATTATCATTATTAGGGGAGGCCTATAGGCTAATTTTACTATTAAATTGATCCGCTATTATAATTAATTTGCCACGCAATATTTTCACAGCACATAACCAACGTGCTGTGAGGATAATAAAATATTGATCTTACTCCTCATTAAAAATTGTCTAAAACATTTAGGTCGATTACAATGAATTATATACATATAAAATAACTATTAACAGTCTATAATATGTCCGAACATTGCCATTATTAATCATCAATGAAAATTAAAAACAGGTTTATTTCAAAAACATTGTTTGACAAAATAATAAAAGAGGTGTTACATATCAGGTGGCTTGAAGACGGTGGGTAATATTATCCATTTTGCAACACCAACTGGAGGTAAGCAACAGTAATTTGTAGCTCGTTTTTATTTTAATTTTATTTTTGCTGCAGATGAAATGGTTAAACTTCTGTTTTCGCGCAGGTGCAGTGAGGGAAAAAACAGTTTAGGGCAATCGGTTCGTAGCTTTGCTTCAACTGTACGATATAGTCACGAGGAGCGACCAAAATTTCTGACAATGCTAGAAATTCATCCGACCATCCGATTGTCGATCGCGAGAGGTTAATCGCCTCTCGTTTCTCCCTGTACACTGCACGAACACTGCACGACAAACGACGCACGACAAAGCTGAAAATCGGTCCGACACGAAAATGAGTCGCACGAGTCAGAATTCGGCTCAAAATCGGACGAAAATCGCACAGTGTATGCCCGCCTTTAGTAAGCCGTTCATTGGTTTATCTCCCTAATAAATTGAGCCTCCAAGGGACTATCTAAACATTGAGGGTAGGGTTGGGCGATGTCTACCAATTTGGCATCAGACGATGTCGAAACATCGCGATGGACGATGATATCGGGAGGGAGTGGGGGGGATATTTTCATAATATTCTCATTTTCCACTACATATTTTCCTCTATATCTTATCAGCAATTTCGAATTCGGCACGCTCTATAGCAGACGCACCCAGCGCTTGTCATAGGCTATATCACAACTGTTCAGTGTTTTTAACCACATAAAATTTATTTTAGGTTTCAGACATTTAAATATATATCATATATTATAGCAAAACAATACATTTTTAGTTTGTAAAATACACAATGGTGTCTATGGAAGCAGAAATAACAACCCATTCAAATAATTGACGACGGTTTTTATTCATATCAGATAGATACTGTGTAAATAATTATAAAGTCAACGCTATTTTTCTCGGCCACTTACTTTCATGTATTTCGGGAGAAACTGATGAATTCCCGCACTGTAATAAATCCAACAGACAGAAATATCTGAACTACGGCCCAAACACGCCGTCGATCTCACGTTACAGATAAAGATCTTTTTCTTTAACGTTTTTTTAAACGACAAAACAAACTCACTTACACATTTGAGAATCGGAATATGAGAATGGTAAGCATCATGAAATGGTAAGCAAGTTAATATTTTGAAATAAAAGCGCTAAATCTGCAATAGAGCGCTATTTTTGGCTGTGGTGAATCACGTGCCAACCAAGCATAATGCGTCACCATGGAAACGGGGGGATGATGTCAGCCATCACAATGGACGATGATATCGTCCATCGGCCCAACCCTAATTGAGAGCGAAGATCTGTCAATCAGTTATGAAAATAACTAGCTAGGGAAGATGATTACCATAAAAGTCCATATCACTGTCAGTTCGTACTGCTGTTAACACTTTCTCTGACAAGCGGATGCAATGAGACCTGTTTTACTGTTTGTTAAAGTGATATTTGTTCGCCCGAAATATGAATCTATCATTCAATGAACGCGTTCAGGCACAACAACACCGAGTACCGTACATATGCTAGTAATATGAACCAAAAAACTAAATAAATTTTGCTCACAGCCATAGAAGCTGAAATAAATACACATGGCTAAATCACATTAAATTCAGTATTCATTACAGTTTAATTTCAGTGCATGGGGCTCAAGAAAATTTCATTAAGCAACAATAATGAGATAACTATTAATTTTATCATTCCAGTATAAGGATCTGGAGTTGAAACCAGGACAGATGTGGCAGTTTTTTTTTTGCTTTTGGCAGGAACTCTCATTAAATCTCTGATTGACTTTGTCACACACCCAAAACGCGTTTTAAATCTGCTGCCATTCTGTAATGGTCCAGTAATTAACACAGGCTGATGTGTTACTCTAGATTGATTCTAGTTAGCGTGTATTGGCAGATGCACAGCCGATGGCTCTCGTGTCTTGCTCGGCATCTCTCCATTTCTCTCTTTGGGTTTGTTCTTGCCACGTTCAAAGCAGAGTCAAAGAGTGATTCACCCTATCAGACACCAGCACTTCAAACACACACATGCACAAGCCCTTTCTAGTGTGTGTTGTCTCTGTGGCCCACTACCCATGCATACGATCAAAGCTCTCCTGATCTTCCTGACAAATCAGCTTGTCTCCTGCTACCCCTGGAAAGAGAGAACACACACGCGTGTACACACTGGGGAAACATGTCTCGCACATAAAACAACCATATCATGTATTTACTTTTCAGGTTGGTTACATACAGTACAGTACAGAACTAACCAACTCTTGAACCCTATACACTGGCTAATGGTGCTTGTAGAAACTGCAGAGATGTATAAAGTACTAGAAACCCGGACTTGAGTAAAAGTACAAGTGCTCCATCAAAAAAGTGACTTGAGTAGAAGTTGAAGTGCTCTTTAAGCACCACACTTAAGTAGAAGTACTAAAGTATTCAACATTTTTTGTACTTAAGTATTGCAAGTAGTTTATTTTATAATTCACTCCTTAAGTACCAAAAGTAAAAGTACAAGTATTGCGTCATGCAATTATCAAAGAAAGCAGTCAAAAGTTTGAACTAGCAATCAAATAAGCCGCTTTGGCGGGAGACAAATTTGCCAAAAAAATGTCATTGCAGGACAACCCCTGCATTAGTTGTCAATGTGTGTGTCAATCAATACCATTACCCTATAAAACTGGCGTGCGATTTAGGCAGCATGAAAGCCAACTTGCAACGAATGATTCGTAAATGTTTTATAATTGTAACGAGTAACTAGCAGAACATTAAAAAAATATCGAAGTAAAACTATTAAATTCATCGAAAATATCTACTGAAGTAAAAGTAGAAATATGAGAAAAAACAATACTCTCTAGTAGAGTACAGATACAGCATTTTAGTACTTAAGTACTTAGTTCTACTTCGTTACTATACATCTCTGAGAAACTTTAATTTTACACTCTTAAGAGTAAAGGTTCTTTATTTGTATCTACAGGTCCATGACGTCCTTTAACATGTATGGACATTTTCCAATAAAAGGTTCTTTTATATTGGAAAAATGTTCTTTTGATTATTAATTTGTTCTTCACACTACAAAAAAAGAGGTTATTTTAAGAACTGGTCACTGAAAGTTTCTTTTGGGGAACCCAATACACTTCAATGAGATGTTGCGAAAACCCTTTTTGAGTGTGTTGTAGAAGTGGCTGATTTTCACTGTCAAGTCACACATACATGCGCGTGCACACACACACACCACTTGGCCCTTATATTGATTGGAGAAGGCTCCACATTGAGAGTGTTCATTTGATGCCCATTGATGTCATTTTCTGTTTGCCATCTAATGTAATTGCTGTAACTGTGTGTGTTTTCTGTCTCTCTGTCCTCCAGCCTCTAATCAGCCACCTCGTTTCCAGAATTACTTCTTCCAGTCGTACCTGCTCATCTATGAGAACACACCAGTGGGTGAGTGTCTCTCGCAAACACACACATACTGCTCTGTAAACTTTACAAAAAATAAGTAATTTTAACTCGGCTAGTAAAAGGTTGATTAATATCAATTTCCTTTGCCTTTGTATTACATTTCACTAAAACGATAATCTTGAATTTTATTAGTCATTTATAGTATGTGCTTTACTTAAGATCATCTTTATTACATCATGTCAGATGTTAAGCCTCATGTGAATGCAAACACCTCAATACTTGGTAGACAATACACATTTGATGGGTCGTTATGTGTCATTTTGAGCAAAAATATTACTCGAAATGTCACAAAATGGCAAGTTACTAATACTGACAACAAAAATCAATGATAAAACAGTGTAAATACAGCTGGAAACCAGTGAAAAATGAGCCTCATTAATTATTCAAGGTCCAGTGCATGATGGGAACCCCAGTATCAGAAAAGTCATTTTTACTTAATTTTATTGATTTGATATTTACACTTTCATCATTTTTACTCACTTGAATTAAGTACTGATATGGAACTAACTTTTTCAAGTAAATTACATTGGTTTTTTCACTAGTATTTACTTCACCAAAAAATATTTTTTTACAGTGTAGATATTTTGCAGTAAATGTTAAACAGTTTGCATGGCAATACAGATTTATATGTTAACACGTACAACATACAATTTTTTGACACACATTTTCATTTTATAAAGGGCCCTTAATCCCTCCTCACAGTCTGTACTCCCCTTCCCTCCTCTTATTCTCCTCTTCATCCCTTATTCATAGTTTTCCTATCTTTAATGCCTCTTTCACCTCTCCCAGTTTATAGGTCAAAGAGCATGCATGTTTATTTAACCTTGTGACCTCTTGTTATCATAAGCTGTTTTTGTGGTCTTATCTGACCCTCAGTCTGCAGTTTGCCTCACTGTTCCTTATTTGCTTTGGTTTTTAAACTCGCTGTTGTTATGCACTGAATGATAATCATTTATGTATAATTTAAGTATATTTGCTAAAGGAAAGCACTTGGGCTGTTTAATCCTAGAGAAATGGCTTCTCTCCATAAAAAAAACTCATATGAAAAACAAATACCTTGTCTTTGTTTTTGCTTGTTTTAACTTGCACTTTTTTGTGCATTTGGTAGATTATACAAGAAATATAGCATTGTTAGTTCACAAAGTTGCTTTTTATGTTATTTTATACTGTCTAGAATTTCTAGAAGTTTGTTGTTAACATGTTGGTAAGCTAACTGTTTAATACTCTTATACAGATGAAAATATGTAACAAATATTTTGTCAAAGTATTTTTTTAATTGATTGAATGGCAGTTTCTCTCAGTTTTTCTGTGTTCGTGGTCATCTAGTTTGAATGCTTTTTCTCCATATTTACACGCATTTACAGCCTTTAGCCTTTGCCATCAACGCTCTGGAAACTGAAAGTAACTCATTCCCGCTAAATGTTTACTCATTGAATTGTTAGACCCGGGAACAATACAAGTCGACACTTTTTTTACTAATAGTTTTCTAAAAGGTATCATAATTCCGCTTATGCGTCATCAACCTACGCCTTTGTTATTGTAAGAGGCTAGCGACTCCTAGCGGTGAAAAAATGACATATTGTAGCTTTAACTCTTTGGTCTCAAGCAGTGCTTTACTCTAACAGTCTCTGTCTTTAAGTTTCTGTCTGTGTCGTATTTCAGCATTTTTAGGGACCCCGATGATTGACAGGGCAATTTGAGAGTGTCAGGGTTTTCATCACCTTGCCGCGTGTTGTCGTGAGTTGGTTTTAAAATAGATCTATCGGGCCTCTTCGCTGATAGCAGGCTCTCTGAACCGCAAATACACTTACACCACACTTATCCATAAAATCTCTGAGCCCATTTTACCTGAACCGCCTGTGTGCGGTGTGTGTGTGTGTATGTTTAGATGTGCGTTTCATTAAAGCTCACAGTTGTGCTTCTTACGTATTATAATTTATTGTTTCTTAAATATGGGCACTTTAGGCAGTGTGGACTTCCAGAAAATATAATCTTTTAAAATGTGTGTTTCACACTCTTCACTAGTTTAATTTGTCCACTAACAATGTCCAAAAGTGTTGAAACTTACACTACCGTTAAAATGTCTGGGGTCAGTATGAATTTTAAATAATTTTATTCAAGATTGCATTCAATGTGATCAAAAATGTTGACATAACTGCTGTTCTTACTTTATATGAATCAAAAATCCTGAAAAATATATATTAGTAGGTTTCTGCAAAATTTTTACAATTATTTATTATCAAAAAAGCTTTTTTGATAATAATCAGAAATGTTTCTCAGCAAATCAGCTAATTAGAATGATTTTTAAAGCATCATGTGACTAATGATAATATTGTTGCAATGACTTCACAGGAATAAATTACATTTTGTAAAATATATTAAAATAGAAAGCAATATTTCACTTTATTTTTATTTTTAATACATTTAAAGAAATGCAGATACAAATACATTGAGTTTTACCTATCCCAAAATTTTGAACTGTTTTTTTGTTGTTGTTGATAGTATGCATATTTTGCATTATAAATTATAAAGTAATAAGTCATATTATGTAATACATTATAATAATTATGTGATGGAAATGATGGTGGTGGAATTAAATGGCTGAGACCTTTGTTGTGCTCAGGCTAGATGGGTATACATAAAATTAAATATTATTTTTACACTGCAATTTGACACAATTATACTAATTTGACAATTATAGCTTGATTGTACATGACCAATGCATACAAATCAAGTGCCCGATGTTGAAGATTCCATTGACTGATAGAATGTTCGAGAGAATGTTCAGCATTCAAAATGTAACAGACAGCAATGACGTCATTGTTACATGTCTATGCTAAATTCCAATTGGATTCTCTCTTACCTCTATGTCACAGTGAACTAATTAATTAACTTTCTTGTATCTATTTAGATGCAAATACTACATATTTGGACATTCTACTTATTCAAGTTATTTGGATATGTGGGCTCAGGGCTAGTTATTCGTTCATGATTTAATTTCCCATGACATCATCAATATCATCTGCATATATTGTCCTCAGCTGATTATAATTTAGTACAAGTTTGAATGTTTTTTTATTGCATTGATCATGGATCCATTGCTCTTTTCCTCCCTCTTTAATTTTCTTATGCTATGCATTTATTTAGAGAGCCAAAATTCCTGTGAGCCACCCTGAAACTGATCAGATATCATAAACAACATGAAACTTTGACAATGCATGAGCATGAACATTAACACACTCTCCATCAACAGCAAAGATGCTGATGCTGCCAATCTATGGTGAGCCATTTACAAAAGGTAAACACTGAGGTCTCGACTAGTTAAAAAGTGTCGTTGTGCAGGCCATAATTAGTTGATTTCTGTTTATTGAGATTAATTAGGATGTGACAAGCTGTTCCCAGACCAGCACTGGTTCAGTCAGGGTTCATTTCCACCCGCAGCAGTGTCAGCGTGCCCTGTGTGTCCTCTGTACCCTGCCTGACTCTGATTGGTGGTCGGAGCCATCAGCCATGTCTGATTGGATGACTCTGATGGCTTATTCATGGAGAGGGCGGATGATTGGACAGTGCCAATTTGTCAGAGTTATAGTTTATTAGTAGCGCAGATGTCCTCGTACTGGAGGACTTCCAAATGACACGCACGCACTGGCACAGGCACACCCCAACACAAACACACACACTTAAACGACAAACACATGCAAACCAACACGTTCACACTCATGACTTGATGGAGACACAGACATTGCACCGGGGTGTGTGTATATGCATAATATAATCACACGAACAGTATCTGTGTTTAGACAGGGTCAAGTGAGTTTGTGCATCATATTGCTTGATACGTTTTTGTGAGTGCATTGGTGAGCTTGTGCTTATTTAGAGGGGACAAATGCAAATGCAACTGTAACGCTCTAAGGGGCCATTCATGTCACTTTTAATGTGTTTTGGCCATTCATTTAGGCAAGGCGTTTTGGGGCTTGAGAATGCCAACTTTTGAAAACTGGTAAAAGTATGTTTTTGGAAATGATACCGTTATTGTTAATTTAAAGGGATAGGTCACCCAAAAATGAAAATTAAAACCTTGTAAGATCTTCGTTCGTCTTCGTAACAGAAATGAAGATATGTTTGATTAAATTTGAGAGCTGGGTCACTACCACATAGGCACCCTAAGGGATTGACCCATGCGTCGTGGAAATCTCTTGAACTCTCGTCTCAGGCCCAGAAGGAACAAAAGGAATAGTCGAATAAAGTCGTTATTTTTGTTTTGTTTGTTTTTTCCCGCACAACAAGTATTCTTGTCGCTTGATAACCTTATATTGGAGCCATTGTAGTCACATGGAGTATTTAAACATTTTCTTCAATGACTTTCTGGGCCTTCAAGTTTCAATCCCTTAGGGTGCCTATGTGTTCGCGATACAGCTCTCAAATTCGGGTGAACTATCCCTTTAAGAATGCCGTGTGTATGCGTATAATGTGTTTAGTCTATAGGTGCGTAGGTTTTCTTTTCAAAGTGACATCACCAATTACTGGCCCTGGTGCAGAATACAGCGTTTTTAATCGTTTTCATGGATCCGGGACCATTTTGACGATGTTGTCGTCTGTACATGAAAACTCAAAGGAAAATCGTTTCCGTGTTTAGTACATCATTGTCGTGTAAACATACCCTAAATGTATAATAGTGTTTGTGAAATAATGGAACAATTAAAGTAACTGCTCTATTAGGGCTGGTTCACATTTTCACATTTTTCCATGCGCGTTCACGCCGCTCCGAGATAAAAACATCTCAACTTTTCAGAATACCGCAAGCGCACCATACGCACACAATAGGTCATGTGACAAGAACCAACTGAAGCGCAACCGCCCTGGCACTTTGGAAAATGGAGAATGCGGCGCACCCTGCGTTTTCTACGCGTTTTTAGGCGCTATATGTGAATCCGGCCTTAGAGTATATTTTCTTGTCATAGTAAAGCTGAATTTTCAGCATG